GTGTAATTTCCACGTTAAATAAAGTTATTATCATTATTATTATTATTTTATTATTATTATTATTTTATTATTATTATTATTATTATCATTTTATTATTATTATCGGAGACGAGGGCTGTACCTCCTTATCCGCGGTCCTTGTATGAAAGTACTGCTTGTAACCAAAAGCTACGAAGCGATTAGAGTAAATTATATTCATCAGATCGTCAAACTACGTTTGAATCAAGCTTGTTCATACCTTATCAAAATGCTTAGAAAGCTCGAAGGCTTGTCGTCCTACAGAACATAAAAGGCTTAACGCCAACCCTGTTCCACTGTTGCATTGGCTAACGTACTCCAAACACACATCTGTAAACGGGTCATTCAGCTGGGGCGAAAAAAAAAGAAGATTGATGAGATGGGAATAGTCTGGATGCTAATGTCAAGGGCAATGGCAAAGGAAGAGGCCGTAATGGCAATGGCAAATAAATGGTAATGGTAATAGTAAGAAATAAATGGTATTGGCAATGGCAATGCTGATCGTTTAACGGTGGTAATGGAAAAAGCAATTGGCAATTGGCAATTTCAACGTTAATGATAGGGTAGCATGGGTGGAATTCGCGGCTAACGCGTCGTCTTTCACCGCTGTGAGTCCAACGGGTCGGGTCGCTGGTTCAAGCCCTGCGGTCGCCACATGTGAATTTATTTTGTTTGATGTGTTGTTCTCTCTCTTGCTACGAGGGTTTTCTCCGGGTTCTCCGGTTCCCTCCCTCCGTAAAAATCCACATGTGAGCTGAGCGTTGTGTGCATAAAATATTAAATGTAGTGGTTGTTCGTGTGGAGGGAACCTCACTGAAGAGCCCCATATGGGGAGTGGTGGTTGTAAAATATTATTATTATTATTATGATATGAGAGATAGAGAACAAATAAATATCATTACCATGTTTCCATACTGTTTAAGGATTTCCTTACGATGAAATTCGTCAGTGTCAATGACATATTGTTTGTTAGCACTTGGATGCATAGCTTTGCCTTCATCTATTCCTGGTATCTTGATGCGGCTCGCTACGAGAAGTATTAGGAAGAAAAGGCAAAAAATCAAGAAAAATGCACAACGAGTACGAAAATCGCACATTTAGATAGACCAGTTTCGAATTCCAAACTACCGCTGTGTTCCTTGATTACAGACTCATTTGCTAGCCTCGTATCAGTGTTTAAATATTCACAAATATCAACAGAAAAGTAAAGAATGCACAACTTCAACAATACAGACGTTTTGAAACTCGACGGACCTTGACTGGAACACGTGAATATTCTGCACAAAGTCGAGGCTAACCCTGTTCAAATGAGTCTGTAATCAAGAAACACAGCGGTAATTTGGAATTCGAAAGGGGTCTATTCACGTGCAAATATTTTTCAGCTGTTGCGTTTGGGGTACCTTTTTTATTGTGAAAACATTAAGTTGGGTTGCCTGCGGCCACTACATCGCCACCAGAACGCGGAACGAACTGTTCCTGTCGATCTTCGGTGGATCAGACGGTCGACTGGAAAATTGTGTTTGCAACCGGAATCCGGAACGTTAACGATTTACAATTTTAAAAAAAGTGTTTGCGAGACAAGTTGCACCAATCGTTGCGAAAAGTAGAATTCGTTTCTAGTATTGCCAAAAATTGAGTTTCCGTTGCACCGTGTAAACACTTTTTCAACTTGTGTCGCAACGCTGTTCCGAGACAAGTAGCAGAGAAAATTGCTCAGTGTAATCGCGTCTTAAAAGTTCGCCGCTTCTTCCTTAACTTATTCATATCTGGTCCTCCAAACAGATATATAAGAGAAGATAACAGCATATAGAGGTTAGGCGTTTGCTGTGACTCGGGTCGGTTAGGTAAGGCGCTAAGGTAAGACGGAGCTGGTGGACGTGGCTTTAGGCCATCTCACTTTTTACGAGAGTGTCACTTTATTTCACCTTATCTTAGTTCGATTTCCTGTGAGAAAAATTATTTAAAAATCCCTGGACAAAATTATTCTTCTTTTAATGACTTACTATCCACGCCTATTCCAAGTGTGTAGACATCAGTACTGACAAGGCGCACAGGGGGAGGGGCGGGGTTGACAGATTTCGCAACATGAAAACCAACATGTTGGAAAAAGTGCGGACGAAAAAAACTTCTTACAAAGCGAGATGCAAATCTTCCAGTTGACGCCCATGAGCAACCCTGAGGAAAAACCGTTACAAAAAAATTAAAACATCTCACAGTTCCATCAGTTTTTGCACTCATCTTGAAAGGTAGCCGTGCCTTTGCATCCTTCATATAGACAGGTCTCCATAATTACATGCTCACCGTTCGTCTAACTTCAATGCAAAGGACCACCAAAGGACAATGGTTACCTTTCAAGATGGCACAGGGAACTGTGAAGGGGACTACTTGCTGGGATAGAAAATTTTTATCTATAGTAACATCTAGGAAATGGCTCTTTTCATAGTCGCTTTCCCATTTCAGACCATGTGTCATTCTGTTGAGAATACGATTCTTTGTTTGAGTTGTATTTAGTATATTCATGTGTCTTCTCATGCGCAAATGTTAAACAAAGAAATGATACTGTAGGGAATGAAGAAAACAATACGCCCAAGGTAAGGGGGTCTACCAAAGAAGTGATGAGGAATGATTAACATATTAGATATTCCACTTCTAGCCTGCTAAGGCCGTGCGGAATTCAGAGCAGTTTTGAGCATTTTAGTAGCCTTGCTGTACTCCTACGATCTGCGGCTGCTCTCACTTTCATCACTCCTGCGCTGTTTTGGTACTTTTGAGAAATCTGCCAGGTCAACTCCCATACTCATACACGAGTACAGTGAGACCGATGTGAAAAGAATGGAACTCATGTCACATACCACCATTATTCCATGCTTTCCGTCACAATTCACAGTCGAGAAATCCACATAAAGATAGTGTGGTTCAAAACCAGGCAATCCGTTGAACTTGTCCTCCAACCAACACCACACGTTGCCGAACACGTCATGGAAGCCTTTTTCATTGGCTGGGAACATGTTTACGGGCTGGAAGAAATAGAACGATAGGCTGAGCGAGGATGACATCATGGATCGATTGTTGGAAGGTTTGAAATATGGAAGGAAAAATAGACAAATGGATAGATGGAGGAAGGAATGAAATACATGGATGGATGGATAAGTGAATGACTTAATGGATAGGTGAATAGACGAATAGATGGATGGATGAATGAATGATGGATGAATGGATAGATGGATGGATTAAGAGATGAGTGGACAGATTTAGGAATGAAAGAAAAGATTGATAGATGCGAATGAAAATAAACAAAAATGCAATGGTCATCATTCTCACCGTTGACGATGCATATTTCATGTTGATATTTGCTTTGAAATCTTCCGGGTGTATGAAGTCACATGTCGTTCCCGTGGTAATCGGGCTCTTAAAGAAAAGCCAAGCAAAGAAAAAGTTAATACAATAACACATCAAACATAGTAACTAGGATGATAAAAAATCCCAATTCGATCTTGGGCTTTCACCTAGCATGGATCTAAAGGTTCCGTTCTTGATTGTCCCACTCTGTGATTACAGACAAAACTGGTAGATTTAAAAAATAAAAAAAATAAATAAAGGCCAAAACCTACAAATGAATAAGAACACTAGTGGTAGTAGCATATTACTGCATTGCAAAGTACGTACCTGTGGTCCTCTTATGGCATGGTGCTGATAAACATGGTTCATTATATTGCATCATAGTACAGTACCTGTGGTCCTCTTATGGTATAATGCTGATATACATGGCTTATTATATTACAGCATAGTACGGTACCTGTGGCCCTCTTATGGCATGGTGCTTATTTATATGGCTCATTATATTACAGCATAGTACAGTACCTGTGGTCCTCTTATGGCATAGTGCTGACATACGTGGTTTATTATATTACAGCATAGAACAATACCTGTGGTCCTCTTATGGCATGGTGCTCATATATGTATGGCTCGTTATATTACAACATAGTACGGTACCTGTGGTCCTCTTATGGCATGATGCTCTGCTTCGGTAAGTAATCTGTACTCAGGTCCTTTCCAGGCACAATAGGCTTTTGCTTCAAAGTAGTTCACTTCTGCTGGCCAGTCTAGAGGCATGTCAATCACGTCAAAAATACCACGGTATCTGGAAGAACAAAGCACCCTCATTATCAATCATAAATTTGTTCTTCAAATTTCTATTTTTGTCAAGTAGAGGTTTGATTATTGAGAACATTTCTCGCTTTATTTTAGCGATCACTACGTTGGACCCGGAAATACGTCACACATTAAAAGTTCTATATTACAAGTCATTATGTATACCGCATCTCTTGTCTTACTTGTACTGTAAGTGGTATTCATTCCCATTGATGTCATTGTCACTGGTTGCTAGGCAACAATGTGAATAATCAGCAAGATCATTTCCGCATCCGCTCTTGCAGGCCTGGTTACAAACCCAGAAGCTTGGGTGCTTAGCTTTGCGGAACGAGCGCCATTTCCAACCTGATTTAAAAATAGCAACCAATCAAAATAAATGCACAGCGGTAACTTGTTTTCCTGCCAGTTGACGTAAATCAAATCAAGGTATTGCTTGAGGTCATGGTTGCGAATTAAATTGTCAGGATTGCCAATTCAACAAACTGGCGGGAATTGATAACGTGACCTTTATTTAGGGTAGATTACATGAGCAGATTTCGTATGACAGTGATAGTGCCTTCGTAGCCGTTTTCGATAAAATGGACAGTGACTCAGTGACGTTGTGCGCTGTGATTGGTCAAACGTGTTTCCAGCTATACAAAAATATTCCATTCGATTCATTCCTCGTCACAATTCATCTTACCTTCGTCCGACCAGTAGGTTTTGTTTTCGTATCCACCAGCCTCGACAAACTCCAGAAACTCACGGTTTGTAACAAGGTATTTGCTGGCTTCGAACTCGGGTACCCTGTGATGCATATAACAAAATGTTTAGTTACTCAGACTCCTCTCGTCCAAATGCTTACAAAAGAGAGAGGGACTGGGAGAATTAGTAACCAAGTCTTGAGTTATTCAAAATGGCGCATGATCAGACTTGGATGAGAAGATGATTGGTCAAACACGCTACGTCACTTGTCTTCCAATGATGTTCTCATCCAAATATGGTATGTTACCATGGCAATACCTTACGGTCCATTCTCCATACTCATTGTCCCATCCATACGAGGGAAAGTCACGTGGTTTTCCTACTGTAACTGTGCAGGATTGCACCTTCAGCATCGAGTTTTTGGTAACAGGTGGATCTAGAAAAACGAAATTAATGCAAGAACGTTCTCGGGCAACTAATGCGTTCTGAAATGTTTTGAAATATGGTGAAATGCACGCATGCGCAAACGTTTTTCTCACGTTTCGTTTTGAAGGCACTTTTATACTGTTTTACCTGCTGTTAGCGGTCCATATACCCAGTTATCTGGCCTACTGACATATTTAATCGGCAGCTGACGATACAGAACTAAAGATGTCTCGAAATGAATCCTGGTCGACAGAAAATAATTTAGCAGGTCAGTTTACCATATTACAAAATGGAATCACGTGGTTAGATGACACGTGATCACGTGATCACAATATCAGACTCATAAACTTGGAGAAACAACAACTCTAATGACTGAAATGCATACAACTTTAGCCAAACCTAAAAATTCAAACGAATGTCTGTCAAAGGAAAGAACAAGGAAGCATGGGTAATGTGTCGCCTCCCGCCAATGCGTCCCGGGCTCGATTACCAGGTTGCATCTTATGTAAATAGCCCGAGAAAAGTAGCCAAGTTTCTCTTGTGCTTCGGGGGCTTTTCTCCGGGTTCTCCGGTTTTCCTCCTTCCTAAAATATCAACTTCTAAATTCTATCTTCGGACTTTCACTTAGTATGGAGCTTAGGGCACTGTTGTAATTAATCAGATATTATTAAACATGGTTTCATAGGAAATCTTGTAAGAATATCTTACCTTTCATGTTCAATTCCCATGAAAAGAGACCACTAAAATGCAATTAAATATTAATAATAAACTGACTAGTGGTTATAGAAGCAGATTGATTGTTTCAGGGACATCGCCAGATAGGGTCCTTACCCAGGGACTGTCCCTAGTGACAGGGACGTCCATTGGTTTAGTATTCAATGAACATCGCCAGATAGGGTCCTT